TAATACATGGATAGGAATGGATTTTATTTAATTTAATGGGGTTAATCTTGAATCATAGAAGTTACATCTCCAAAATTTGAAGGTCCTAAAATCATTCCTGGTTTTACTCGAGGGAGAAAGTGAACATTGTACTCCTTGGGACTATAAAAGTTTTCGGCTAAACTATAATATAAAATGAAAGGGCGAATATTTGTTTTCCTTCGTTGGATATGCAACGTTTGCACGTGCATTAAACCGGGCTGAGGAGGCGATGTAGTGGGCGACAGGATACGTCAATATGAGTCCGGGACCACATCAAGATTGAGGAGGTCAAATAAAAAAAATAAAAAAAGGGACAAAATATTTTTTGTGCTTTTATGGGAGTAGGTTGCAAATGTTCCTGGGATATAAGAAAAAGAGAAAAATCCAAATCGTTTAAAAAAAAAAATTAAATAAATAAATAAATAAATTCTCCACGGCAATAGAAACAAATAGGGAAATTTGACGGAACTGCGTTAATAAAATACAAGTAGCAGGGAATTTACAGGCTTCTTTCTAAAAAGTGGAACTTTTCAAGATGCTTAGTATAGGCCCGAGGACAAAGCTGCCAAGAAGGAAAAGCTTTTGAAAAGGATTCAAGCTTAGGAGAGAGAAATTGCAGAAAGAGAGTTGATGGCTGTAAGTTCTGTTACTATCTTAATTTTGGAGAATTGATCTGTATATTTCATTGACCCAAAAAAGATAATTATATATAACAAATATGATCATTTGACTATTGGGAGTTTTCAGGTTATATGTCATTCCTAATTGTAAATCCCTGAATTGTAGGGATTGACAATTTGAAAAATGAAATCGTCTAACAGCTTTCTTTATGAATACTTGTTTTTTTCTTTATTCTTTTTGTTTTTTAGATGTGTTGGCTTTTCAATGAATATTAGTTTTTTTTTATTCCTCTCCTTTTCTTCCTTTTCTCTCTCTTTCTTGCTGGAATCTAAAGTTTTGTAATTGGAGGTGGTTATTTTATTTATTTATATTTTATATTTATTTATTGATTTTTTTTGTTTCTTTTTCTTTCTCCGGTTTTGTTAGGCTTTGATTTTGCTTTCACCGGTAATTTTGGTGAGGAACACTTCTACAATAAAACAGACTTACGGGTAGATTTATGGCCGAAAACAAAAAGTGTATCTTTGGAAAAAGCAAGTTGATAATAAATATGCCACTTTGGAGTTTGAACAAATATTGGTTGAGAATTAGATAGTTTCTCAAAAAATATAGAAAAATGACTGTTGTTTTGATGGTGATGGTTGTATCTAGTGTTTGAAAACTCGTCGAGTCAAGCGGAATCGCCCTGTTCGATTCAGGAATCATCGGCTATCGAGCCGGTTCCACGAAAAAATCGGGAATCGCCCGTGACGAGAGAGAACCGGGCGATTCCTGGCGATTCCCACTAGTAAAATCACGATTCTTAGCGATTCCCAATAGTAAAATCGCGATTCCTGGTGATTCCCAATAGTAAAATCACGAGTCTCACGAAAAGTTTTGGGTTCACACGTGGCCGCCTCACGAGAGTGACACGTGGCTCCTACAAACCCTCAACGCGTGGCAATTCATCTAGTTCGTATGCCCCCTTCGCTTTTCTACACACGTGACTGAATGATTAGTACACAACACTTTATAGATAACAAAGGATCTCTCCTCCTTCGCTATGGGATAATTCCCACAAAAAGCCATTCAAGCAAGATGATTTAATATGTATTATAGCATTGTTGCTAATGAAACACATCAAGTGATGTGGTGGTACAACCTTGAATTTTCGGGCGAGGGTCGTCGTTTATAATACAACATTTTTTTTAAGATAAAGATAAAAAATAGTGATAAAGATAAAAACTAAAAAGCTTTTCAAGGTAATGAATAAAAAACTTGAAATAAAATAGAAAACGATAAAGATAAAAAATAGAGATAAAGATAAAAAATAAAAAGCTTTTTTCTTGTTGTAAAAAAATCTTAAAAAATAAAAAATAAACAAAGGCAGAAAATACTGTTATAAAAAATTAGAAAAAATAAAAAATAAAAGGCTTTTCAAGATAAAGATAAAAAATATAATACAACATTTTTTTATTTTTCTTGTAAAAAAAATACAAGGTAATATAATAAGCATTTCTTGCAAAAAAATAAAACAAAAGGCATAAAAAAATAAAATGTACTTTAGCAGCATCATTTTCTTTTTTTTCCTTGTAAAAAAAAAAAGAAAGTAATGCAACAAGCAAAAAAAAATGTAGTACAACGTCTTCTTCTTTTGTCAAAAAAGAAGAAGAAGATAATCAACAAGTATCATATTTTTCTTGTAAAAAAAAAAAGAAGATAACACAATAAGTATTTCTTGTCAAAGAAATAAAAGGTATTTCTTAATAAAACCTAGGAATAAATGGTCTAATTATTTTTTTTATTTTTATAACATGATAGTCTTTAACATAAATTTAGTAATATTGAAATCTCTCTTTCTGCTAACAATCTTTTCTACTAATTTATTTTAGAAACCTAAAAAATTAAAGAAAATTGGTACGCATTCTAATAATTTCTATAT